GCTGGTAGACCTCCAGGTACTGTGTCTAACCACTGAGCCATCCCATGGGGGAGGAAGCAGAAGCCCTCACACTGTAAGGCTGAGCGCTCCTGAGAGAAACCCACTGCCTATCTCCATGGGGCCCTGGCACTGGGGAGTCCAGAGACCAAGAGAAACCCCTCCTCCTGGTCTGCCTCTCAGGGTCTCCAAGGCCATGACCCCAACATACCTTCCTCCTTCCTCTGTCCATCGTCACCCAGCATAGACAGGTGTGACCCCAAGGGTGCACCTCCAAGAAACTAGGACCATCCCCCAGGTCAGCTGCTCCTGGCCAGATTACCCACAGTGCTAAGATAACCTTCGCACATCAGGCTCTGCCCACTGGCTGCTGCTCATGCCACAGATACACTCAGCCCAACTACACAGGGGGAGCAGGAACAGCATGCCACCCCAGGGGCTGCCGCCACTCCAGGAGACCGATGCCAAGCAGCTGCAACCAATCATCTGGTGGAGAGCCACAGGGACAGGCAGAAGTTGCACACCTGAACCCGAAGGGTTCCCTGTACTAAGTGAGGTCACTGGTGTCTCTGGCTTGGGTTGTGGTGGCTACCGCCTGGAAGCATAGCAGGGGACATCTTCAGGCCCCCAGGGTACCAGTGATCCCTAAGAGGGTGGTTCTGCTCCCTGTCCCTCGCCTCACCTTCCCTGAGATGGTGGCACACTTTAGAGACGGCCTCATGGCTGACCCTCTCTAATCTCCTGGGGAGAACACAGCAGTCTGAGGGAGCGCTGAGACCCACTGGGCTCCCTAGTCCCACCATGCCCAGGGGTCCCTGGCACATCTGCCACCCAGAGAAGAGACTCCATGGACCCACCAGGGGAGGGCGATCCCACGAGGCCCAAAAGCTAGGTATGTGCTCCTGTGCTCTTACACCACAGGAACTGTCACCCAAAGTGAGGAAAGGCTACACCAAACTAGGAAGCTCTGCCCTCGCTGTCATCTATCTGGTGCTGGGACGAACCCGGGACCTCACAAGTGCCAGGAGAGCAGACACTAAGCCTCACCCCCACACTAACCTTGTTTCTTTGTGGCTGTTTTTTGGGGGGGCATGTGTGGTAGAAGCCAGAGGTCAACATGGGTGTCCTCCATCACCCTCAACCTCATTCTCCTGGTCTCTGCAGAAAATGGAGCTCAACACTTGACCTAGGCTGGCTGCCCTGAGGCCCTCCTGTCCCCACCTCCCCATGGGCATGTGCTGGGGCTGCAGGCACACCTGCAATGGCTGGCTCTTACATGAGTGCTCGTATCAGAACTCGGGCCTGCGCCTGCACAACAGCAGCCCCCATCCACTGAGCCCTTTCCCCAGCTGTGGTTTCATGGTGGCTGTGTTTCAAGACAGGGTCCCTCTATGTATCCCAGGCTAGCCTGGGACTCTCCATTCTCCTGCCTCCACCTCCAGAGTGCTGGGATCCACACCCAGTTGGAACCCAATGCTGAGCGCATGCTTAGGCTCGCACTGTCCTTACCCAGCCCAGCCCCGGCCCCAAAGCTTCATTTTTAGTAGACTTTACTTTTCTGGAGTGGCTTTGGGTAGTGATGTCTCATGCTCTCCTATCCCCACTGGAAAGGACACAGAAGGTGGGAAAATGACAGAGTCCCTGACACCTTATCCAGCCAAGAAGAGGTTCCCAGAGCAGACCACACCCAATGTCGGTGAATAGAAAACCAACTCATCTGAGACGTCTTTTTAAAAATCAATTCATTACTTTAAAGTCATTTTTGTGGTGTTGGGGTGGAGCCAGGGTCTCATGCCTTACCGCTGTGACCTGCCTAGCTGGACACTACTTTTAAGGCTTAGTGAGTCACTAGGTCCCTGTCACCCTCTCTGAAGCAGCCAGCCCAGGAACACCCCATGAATTCAGGGACATCATTGTGGAGAAGACCAAGAGTAAAGAAATGAGTCAACCCAATTTGATTAGTGACAAGTTGATCAAAGCAACAGGACAGGGTACAGCAAAAGGAGGGGTGTCAGTGCCGCCTCCACAGACCTAAGGCTGCCAGAGTGGGACCTGCACAGGGTGGGCGTGGGGAGCCAAGGCTGGTAGCAGGCAAATCCCGTCTGTGCAATTACAGGCCTGGACTGGAGGCAGGGCCAGTGGGGGCAGGAGCAAACAGAACCACTAGGCACTGAGGGTGGCCGGGGCCGGGAGCTGGGACAAAGAAGCAGGTGGATGTACAGGGATGTACAGGTGGATGTACAGGGCTGAGGCCAAGCCCCAGGTCTCCTGTGGAGGGACCTGGGTGAGGTCCTGGCAAGGAGATGAGGACCAGCTACACACCAAGTACTCTGAATGCCCACTCCAGGGGTGACCAGCTACACACCAAGTACTCTGAATGCCCACTCCAGGGGTCACCAGCTACACACCAAGTACTCTGAATGCCCACTCCAGGGGTCACCAGCTACACACCAAGTACTCTGAATGCCCACTCCAAGGGTGACCAGCTACAATGGACCAAGGCAGTAGGGACAGTGGAGCAGAACAGAAGGCTTCCAAGCTCCTGGCTCCTTGCCCTTGACCCTCAAGGCCACCTGAGGACAGGAGCATGCTGGGTGTCCACTCTACAGATGGAAAAGGAGTCAAGATGCTGGACAGAGCAGGAAAGACACCTACCTGGCTGCAGGACCTCTGAACTTCAAGGATGGTGGATGGAGCCCAGCTCCCCACCCCAGGGCCTGTGGTGACAGTTCTCTCCAGAGGCTGCCCATCTGCTACAGTCTGCTCCCTGCCCCTGCTCCCAGGAGGCTTTTGAGTCCTGGTGGCTCTGACCTTGGTTCTGGAGGAAGTGACAAGCCCAAGGCCACTAGGCCCTGAACCCTCCACCCACCTCCAGATCTTTAGACAACCATCGGAAGTATCCCGTGGCCAGCGCCTCTGGCCCTCACCACACGTGACCTCATTGTGGGTGCTGGCTCCATCAGCCTCCTCCCAGCACTCCCCATGAGCCCCCGTCCCCAGGAGTGAGGCTTTGCACAACCTGCCAACTGATGGGCCAGGTGACTCCCCACAGGTGTCAGATGGCACACAGACAGATGGCTACCCCAGCGCGGGGGCTCCCAGGACAACAACGGGAAGGGGAGGACAAAACAAGGGGGTCAGAGCCCAGCAGAGGAGGGGGAGCAAAGACCTGAAGTCTAAGCCAGGGCTGGGTAGGCTAGAAGCATGGAGTGCCCCCAGGACAGGGAAGGAGACAGGCTGTGGCTGGGGACAGATACCCACAGAACAGTGACTGCATCTCTGGAGACCCCTCTGTACCGGGATGTCTCCTGAGTGGTCATCACTCTGGGAGGAAAGGATTAGAAAACCACTGTCACTTAGACCTGTACATTCCCAGGTCCGAACGCACACACTCACAGGTGCACCTATATACACACATAAGTACACAGAGCACCTGGCACAAGGACACTTCTACCCCAAACGGTAAAACACCCTATGGCAATCTGGGCAACTCTTGCCTCGGGCTTTATGCCCTCCCAGGGAGAGCATGGAAACTCACCCAGTGTCTTCCAAAGGGACCCTGCAACTTTTGACACAGGGCATCCACGAGGTTTGGGAAAAAAGAAAGGGGAAAATGAAAGCTGTCTGCTGCTTGTGCAGGGTGGGAAAGAAAACGCTGGCCCTGTCTGAGGACACGCCCTCCTGGTGGCTCTGAAGGCAGCAATTACCACAGAATTAAAGAGAGTGATTAGTCCTTTACTGGTGGGGGAGAAAACCTCTGAAGACCCACCTAATGAGCCCATTTTGAGGCAAGAGCTGTTTGGGGACGGTGCAACTCCAGCCCGGGGACTGTCAGAGACACAACTATTGGGACACAGAGACGTCCAGGGGCCCCCATACCTTCTGCAACCAAGATCCTCAGAGCCTAAGAAGGTGCAGGCGGCAGGTTGAGCAAACCCCACTTGCACACAGGGAAAGATAGTCTTTCTTTTCGCTTTTTGAAACATGTTACAGGATCCACCGTCTTGCTAGTTGAAAAAACTAGCAACTCGGGCAAGACACTTCCCCAGGTGTTACTGAATTATTAAAGCGATGCCATCCTTCCCCTCCCCCAGTCAGACAGATGGGACAAGGGGAAGCCCAGGAGCGGCAGTGCCCAAACCGCACCGGTTACACCATCAAATCTGCAAACCGGGACCCTCACACTAGCACCTGGTTCGCAGCAGCCGCCCAGCAGATCCCCCAGAAGCCCCCAGCACACGACGGTAGGAAAGCCATCCCCAGCTGTCCCCGGCTCTGCTGGCTTCCCGAGAAGAAGAAACTGGGGCTGTCTGCCGGGGACGCCCTGGACCGGTGTGCATGCGGGCAACTGCACAATTCATGGCTTTACAGAGAGAAGGGGGCTGGAAGGCAGAGGGACCTGAGGACGGATGCGAGGTGGGAAGGCTGCCATTGCAACAGCAGATACGTGCATTATTTTTCTTTTAAATTAAAAAATGCAGATTACATGGTGATTTAGGGATTCTGGGACAAGAGGGGGTCAAGTTTGGAAGGCATGATGGATGGGGGGGACAGCACCAGTGTCCCCTAAAGGGAACCAAAATAAAAGCTGGGAGGAGCATGGGCTTGGAGTGGGTTTTCTTATTTTTACGGATTTGGGGATGCTGAAGGGATAGCAGGACCGGGCCACCCACGCTGTCATCTTTTGTGCCCTGGAAAGGGGACGCGGCGCCCCGCCCCCGCCCCGCCTTTGTCCGGCCCCATCGTCCCCCCCCCAAAAAAACACACCCTCATTTCCCAGGCACACAATCGCTTTGTCGATCAACAAACAGCAGCTTCGTCCAAGCGGACAAAAGCCCGGCGTACCCCACCGCCCCGCGGAGCCAAGTAGGCCGCAGCCGAAGCCTCGGCCTAGAGTATGCGCGGTAGCCGCGAGGCGCGGCGCGGGGGCAGGCATGGCGGCTGCGCGGCCCCCCCGGAGGGGCCTGGAAGCTGCGGAGCGCCGCTGCCGATCGCACACTCACCTGGCGCGGCGCGCGCGGCCCCGAGTGTGGACAGCGAGCTGAGCGGCGCGTGCTCAGCCGCGTCGCGTCGCCCCCGCCGGGCTTCGCTCGCTCGCTCAGGCCGCTCGGCTCCTGCCTTCGCCCTGTTCGTTCGCTGGTTCGATCGTTCGTTCGCTCGCGGCCGAGCCCTCAGCAAGCGCCTCGGGCGGGGAGGCGAAGCTTCAGAGGGCGGGGCGACAGCTCCTCCTCGACCTCCATTGGACAGCCAGCCCACGCCCGCACGCTTATTGGTGGAGGCTGACAGCTCCGCCCCTCCCCTCATCAACACCACACGGCCCCGCCCTCCACGACCTGGGGAGGGCTCAGGCGCCCGACCTCTTCTCTTCATTGGTCCAACCACGAGGACGCACCGGCACCCACTCACGTGCCCGGTGACCGGCTCAGCTCTCAGTGGGTACGGAACACGCCCGTCAAAGGAGACACAGCCAATCCGACAGAGGTCGGGTCTTATAGCACGGAGCGCAGGCAGAGTGACAAGCGCTTCTCAGGACCCGGCTGAGAGAAGCGTCGATTGGTGGTTGGTACAGCCTCTGGGCGCCGATTGGTTAGGACTGAACGTCAATCACTGTCTTGGTGCTCCGGACTCCGCCCTGTTATCAGGAGGCTGTTGAGTACGTGATATCCTGCACAACATCGGCACCGGGCCGGAGACACCGGGAGACAGTGGTTCGAGACCCGGTGGATCAAGACCCGGAGCGGTGATTTGAGCACAGGTTTGTGCGAGCCCTCAACACCCGCACTAGGATACAGAGTGTCCCCAAAGCGCTGTTCCCTTGAGTTCAGCTGGGGCTGTGCCTCTGAGGAAGTCACCTAACTGGGCCTTTGTTTCCCGCCATGAAATGATAGCGATACCCACGGAGAACTTCGCAATAATGAGAGATTCTTTTCTCTGCTTCTCGATTTTCCTCGGTTCAGCTCTCTCCAGCTTAGTATGTTCCAAATTGAGAGCTGGGCACCCAGATTCCAGCTACAGCTGTGGCTCTATGGAGCATTTATTAAGGTCTAGTATCATCCCCATCAATATGCATTTATAGTTTTAAATGTTTATTATTTTGTGTGTATATGCCCTGTAGAAGTCAGAGGGGGAGCCAGGCGTTGGTGGCGCACGCCTTTAATCCCAGCACTCGGGAGGCAGAGGCAGGTGGATCTTTGTGAGTTCGAGGCCGGGCTGGTCTACAAAGCAAGTTCCAGGACAGCCCCCAAAACCACAGAGAAACCCTGTCTTGAAACACACACACACAAAGAAGTCAGAGGGCCACTTGGGAGTTAACTCTCCTGCTCTCTGGGTACCAAGATCAAACTCTGTCAGGCTTGGTTGCAATCACCTTACCCACTGAGCCAGCTTGCTGCTGGTGCACATTGTTCTTTCTTTTTTTTTTTTGGTTTTTCGAGACAGGATTTCTCTGTGGCTTTGGAGGCTGTCCTGGAACTCGCTTGGTAGTCCAGGCTGGTCTCGAACTCACAGAGATCCGCCTGCCTCTGCCTCCCGAGTGCTGGGATTAAAGGCGTGCGCCACCAACACCCGGCTGTTATTTCTTTTATACCTGAGAAAGCAGGGGTGAAGGTGTGCCTGCTTTATGGGGTGGGGCTAGTCCTTTGATTTTAACATCTAATATCCAGAAAGCGCCCTTTTTAGAACAAGATATTTGCCCCTCCCCCAATCACTAACTCCCAAGGCTATGAATAAATTATTCCAAACTGGATGGCTCTTGAATTTTTTTTACTTGTTCTTCATTGTGCGACCATTGTAAGGGGAACAGCCATTACCATGGCTGTCAGGGTCATCCTGAATTTGTAGAGTTGGAGGCCAGCCTGTCTCTTCAGTTACGCAATGGCAGCATACTCTTTAATCCCAGCACTGACTGGGAGACACAGGCAGGTGGATCTCTGAGTCTACAGAGCAAGATCTAGGACAGCCATGGCTACACAATGGGACCCTGTCTCAAAACCCAACCAACCAAAGACGCTATCTGGAACAGGCGGGTGAGACAGCTCAGTAAGCATGCCATCTAGGCAGACCACTTGTGTCTGTCTGCTCCCAGGCCCCCCACATGGTGAAGAAGGGTTCTCTGTACACATCTGCCTGCATGGGCACACACACACACTCAATGCAAAGGAACAATCATGTATGGCCGTCACCAAGGTACATGGTTTTTTTTAAAGATATATATATACATGCATATATATAGTGTTCTGCTTGCATATATGCCTGCAGGCCAGAAAAGGGCACCAGATCTCATTACAGATGGTTGTGAGCCACGTGGTTGCTGGGAATTGAACTCAGGACCTCTGGAAGAGCAGCCAGTGCTCTTAACCCATGAGCCATCATCTCTCCAGCCCCTGAGATTTTATATATATATATATATATATATATATATATTTTTTTTTTTTTTCGTGACAGGGTTTCTCTGTGGTTTTGGAAGCTGTCCTGGAACTACCTCTTGTAGACCAGGCTGATCTGAAACTCAGAGATCCACCTTCCTCTGCCTCCTTAGTGCTGGAATTAAAGGTGTGCATCACCACTGCTCGGCCCCCAAGATTTTTTTTTTTTTTTTTTTTTTTTTTGGTTTTTCGAGACAGGGTTTCTCTGTATTGTTTTGGAGACTGTCCTGGAACTTGCTTTGTAGACCAGGCTGGCCTCGAACTCAAAGACATCCGCCTGCCTCTGCCTCCCGAGTGCTGGGATTAAAGGCGTCCCCAAGATATTTTTTAAAGCATTTAACTCTATTTTATGTGCATTGGAATGAAGGTGTCAGATTCCCTGGAACTGGAGTTACAATTGTGAGTTGCCATGTGGGTGCGGGATTTGAACCCATGTACTCTGGAAGAGTAGCCAGTGCTCTTAACCACTGAGCCATCTCCCCAGCCCACCACCATATTTTTAAGGGCACATGATCTGTGTGAAGGACCAGTAGATGTTTTTAATTAGGAGTGGCTTTTATTAAATTTGCTCTGCCCTCAGAATTCCTGTCTACACTTGTCTGAGCTGGGGAGGTGGCTCAGCAGTTAACCTGGTGTCCTGCTCTTCCAGAGTTCAAACACCAGCACCTGCTCCAGGGTACCCACCTGTAGTCTCCAGAGGCATCCACGTTCATGATTAAAATTTTCTAAAAATCTTTTAAGTGGTGGCCCATGCCCTCGGTTGTAGCACTGGAGAGGTAGAGGGAGGCACACCTGAGTCCCAGGTCAGCCTTCGAAGTGTCATGCTAAAGATGGAACCATTGTGTTTTGGCTGTTTTTGAGACAAGGTTCCTGTGTAGCCCTGGCTGTCCTAAAACACAGCTCTGTCCATCATGCTAGCCTTGAACTCAACAGATCTGCCTGCACCACCATGCCCAGCACATTTGGGTTTTGAGATAGGGTGTATGTAGTCCAGGCTAGTCTTGAAGTCAAGATCTCCCTGCCATCCAGATACAGGCTAACAGGCATATTGTACCACACCCAGCTATCCCCACCTCCCCACCGTGTTCCTTGAATGTAGCCTAGTTGCTGGTGAGAGGGTTCTGTGTGTATGTAAAGGCAACAACCCAAGTTCCATCTCCAGGTCCCACATGGTGAAAATGGGCTTCCAGAAGTTACTAACACTGTTTTAAAAATTTTTTAAGACTTATGTGTGACAGCCATTGGTGGCACATGCCTTTAATCCTAGCACTTGGGAAGCAAAGACAGGCAGATCTGAGTTCCAGGTCAGTCTAGTCTACAGAGCAAGTTCCAGGACAGCCTCCAAAACAATACAGAGAAACCCTTTATCGAAAAACCAAAAAAAAAAAAAAAAAAACCTTATGTGCATGGCTGTTTTGCTTGCACATTTTGTGCATACCTGCAGAGGCCAGAAGAGGGCATCAAATGCCCTGAACTGTCACAGGCAGTGGTTTCGTCACCATGTGGATACTGGGCCTCAAATGCAAGAGCAGCCAGTGCTCTGAACTCTAACCCCAGATGTGTCTTAAAAGCAGACATTTCCTTGGCTTGAGACCAGCAGCTGACACTCCTGAGACCTACCATGATGTAGGTGGGGGGCATGCCCCCAGCTCACCCACCCACCCACCCCCTCCACAGGAGTCCAGACACTTCTGCAGCCTGCAGTGTCTGTGCCAAATGCAAGCAGACCGCCACCAGAAACCACAGCAGCACACACACCTGCCCATGACCAGGGACTCTAGTCTCACAAATGTACATCTATCTTCAACATCCAGTTTCCTATAAATCTATGTATGGTGCCATCTGTACAATGGTAGAACCTTCCAGAACAGGGGCCAGCAAACTGTTAGTCAAAGCTAGATGATACTGTTCTCTGCTTTCAGGACAATGGAGTTTCTCTCTGACCTACTGGAGGCGCTGACTGCAGCAAGAGCCAACGCGTAGGAGTGAACAGCTGTCTGTATAAAACTATCTGAACAACCAAATCGTGCCCTGAAAATCAGAGTGAGCGCCTCTATGCCCGTTGTCCCTTCAGTCTCAACTCATTTTCATGACAGCAACACAAAGCAATTCAAAAACAAATAAGCAAACAAATATTCAAATATATCTGCAGAAAAAAATTTATTGAGATCTAAAATCTGAACAAAAATACTGAACTTTAGAAAACATCCACACGGACACATGGAATTTCGTTTTTTTCCCCCTAATGTGTTAACATTCTAACAAAACCAAACAAAACCCATGACCCTTAAAACAGTGCTGTCCAGTCTGCCTGTGGTTGGTTACATGTTCAGTTTCCGTGTTCTACTGAGGTATGGCCTGCACACACTTTGGTAAAGTAAGTTACAAAACAAAAAACCAACCAAAAAAACAAAACATGCAGTCACAGTCTCCCTCAGTACAGGCTGTAACTAGGAAAGAAATTCATCGAGGAAACTACTCATCCCATTAAAAATACAATACAGAAACCCTCATATTTCTCAGTTGCTGAGTTAAAAACAAGATGAGAACTGGTCACTACACCTCAAACCTCCACAATACCCAGCCAGCGAGCACCCAGCAGCCAGGCATCGACAAGTCAGCGCTAAAGACAGTGGGAAGGGCAATGAGGCATGCGCGTCAGCTTTGCTTCAACTGGTGCCCTAGCCTGGGCCAGTCAAGTCCCGCTGAGGTAGTGTCAGCTAGGCCCCAGAGGCCCCCTGTGAGGATGGTGAGGTCAGGGCCCCCTCCAGGTCTTCTGCGAAGGCCCAAGGGATGGCTGCTGGAGCCACCCCCAGAATGAAACACTCTGCTGGCTGCTGGGAAAATATGCCTGGGTTTTTCAAAGATTGTTGTAGGCAGCTGGTTTGGGGTGAGGACTCCTGGCAACATGACATTGAGGTCTGGTACAGGGCTGAACAGTTTCTAAATTCATCTTCAAAGAAAAGGGCAGGTTTCCTTTTTTTCCCTTCTCTGGGAGAATTGCAAACTTTGTATTAAAAAAAGAGAAAAGAAAAAAAATGAATAACAGAGGTCCAACTGGTGGCCAGAACACGGGATTCCTGCAGATGCCTGGTTAGCTGGCGAGCAAGGCAGATAGGCCGCCAGGAGCAGACGTGGAGGGACAACACCTCCAAGCTAAGCCTACTACGAACTGGGAGCAGGGCTGAGTGCCCTCCGCCTGGTGTGTGGCATCACCGGCCGCTGCCGTAGCCAGGGAAGAGCTGGTTGAGAATGGTCTGCAAAGGCTGGTTCACCCGGGTTGGGGAGCTGTGGTCTAGGTCGCATCGACAGGCTGGGCAGCTGAACACCTCGGCCCGGAAGGACCTGTCCAGGCAGTCCTGCAGGAGACACGGGCAGGGTGAAGGGGACAGACACTCGGGGCTCCCTCCTGCGCCCACTCAGGACTCTGAGCTCCTTCCTGGTGGTGCTTGCAGTGTCCTGGAGAGGGTGAGTCTATGGGGGCCTGGGGTCTCTATAAAGCACAAGGCTGAGGCAACAGCCATGGCACCCAAGTGGGTTGACACCGGCTTCCCTCCTCACCTTGCAGACATTGTGCTGGCACACGGTGGTAACGGGCCGGAACACCAGCTCCTGGCAGCAGATACACTGGAAAGCCTCCTCCACCTTGCTCAGAAAGACCTGGTACTGCAGAACGGGTGTGAGGGGGCACATCTGCATCATTCTCACTCCAGCAGACAGAACCCCACCCCATTGACCCCGGCAAAGACTAAGGACACCGCAGCATGAGGCAGGTCTCAGGCAGCACAGGGTGACAGCCCTGGGCAGCTGACCCAGCCTCAGAGCCTCAGCTTTCAGCCACAGGTATGAGCAAGCTCTGGACCTACTGTGTGGGAGTCATAGTACTGAAGAGGAGAGGCTTCACCCCACTGGACCCTGAATGAGCCAGAGAAGCAACAGGACAGCAGCCATCCTGCAGGACCCCACTGTGTACGCCCTGCGCTAACAGGTTCTCATCACCACACAATGCCACTCCTGGGACACACTTAAACCAAACACAGCAGGGGCTAAGTGACCGCTGCAGACCCAGGCCACAGTGACATAACATGGCCCTGAGGAGTATTACTCAAGCAGAAAAGGAAAAGGTATTCTGATATCACTGCGTCCAACATAGATGAGCCTCAGTGACCAGAGCCATCACAAAAAGACAAAGCTACCAGGTCCCATTCCCAGAAGGTCCCTGGAGTCATCAGGGCCACAGAGGAAGAGGAAGGAGGGTGGGTGCAGAAGTTAATTAATGTTAGAAGTGGACAGAGCTTTAGTGTGGACACATGGAAAGTTCCAGAGACAGCTGCGTACCAACAGGAATGGACTACTCCAAGCCCACCTGCCCACGGGAGGATGGGGCCCCATGGCTCACCGGCCCACCCTGCAGCGAACTCAGCACATCATCCCACAGCTTGGCGTTGCTCTTGTCCTCCTTGATGAGGGTGGCCTGTTGCACTGGGAGTGTATAGGGCTCCAGTTTGCTCTTCTTGGACACGTGTGTGTTGGTGGCCACGCCTGGGGGGTGAACAGAACAAGGCCTGTGAGGAGTACAGCAATGCAGGGAACAGATCGCGTGTGAGGGATGGACAAGCACCCACCTGTGGTCTTCCGCTTGGATGTGGTTGTCTTGGAGGTCGTTGGCTCCTGCTCCAAGGCCCTGGCTGGGCGCTTTCTACTCTTCTCCTTGCTAGCCAAGGCCTCTAAGTAGCCTTCAGGGTACTGAAGGGAGAGGGGTAGTGGGGAGAGTCAGGGCTCAGTCCATCCTGCAGGGCCACAGGGCCATCACCCAGTGAGCTCCTGGGCGCCTGACGGGATTGCTGGACAAGCACGAGGGTCAGGCGTGGCAGTGAGGGATCTTCCCCACATAGCCCAGGCTGGCTAATAGGAGAGGGGGTCCTGGGCTATGTGGGGAAGATCCCTGCCCCAGACTAAAGCCAGGGCTGTCACCACACTCCTGTCACCCTGCACTAGAGGTCAAGAGAGGGTCAGGAGCTTAAAAGCTCATCCTAGGCTATGGAGCAACTTCAAGGCTGGCCTGGGCTACATGAAGCCAGGTGCGGTGGCACCATCTGTGACCGAGCACCCAGGAGACTAAGGCAGGAGGACTGTTGTTACAGTCCCCCTAGGTGACAGAGAGAGAGCTTCAGAAACCACAGAAAAAACCTAACTTCAGTCCTACCGCTGACCCTGGTTCAGTCCCTCACCCTGTACGTACACACACATACACACTCACACTCACACATACACCTGCACATTCTGCTATACACTCAGTGCAGCCCCCAACACCTGGGGACAGGCGCCGTCATGTTCCACAGGCCAATACCACGCCTTCCATAGTCCCCAGCACAATGGAAGCCTGACTAAAGCCCAGGGCAAGCATCCACCATGTGGCTTCTGAAATGCTCTGGGTGCAGAGATGGCTGCTGGGCACCCACTATCCGTACCTGCCCACCCCCACTGCCTGTTTTCTATGAGTTCTGGTAGCTTCTTTCTGCTGATTCTGGAGGGGTCAGAGGGGCAGTAACATTAGCCACAGGTGTGGCTGCTCAGGTGTGTCACCTGTGAGCCCACACCCACCCATAAACCTCAGCGTGTTTGGATTTACTTTTCAGTGTATGCTGTGCCGCCTGCAAGTGTGTGCACCAGGTGTGTGCAGGGGGGCAGTGACTGCAGTTACACGTTGTGAGCTGCTGCATGGGGCAAGGGTTCAGACTGTGGTACTCCGCAAGAGCAGCCAGTGCTGCCAGCCAAGTCCTCTCCAGCCCCACATTTGAGTCTCGTGTAGGCCAGGCTGGCCTTGAACCCCGGATCCTGCCTGATTTACCTGGTGCTGGGGACAGAATGCAGACTTCGTGCAGAGAATGCTCTCCCCCAGCTGCAGGACTAGCCCTATGTTTGTTCTGGTGAGAGGGACTTGCTATAAAGCCCAGGCTGGTCTCGACCTTCTGAGGACCTGGGCCACTGTTCCTGACTGACAGTTGGTTTGAAGGAAACAGGGACCCTGGGAAGCCAAGCAGAACAGGTGTCCCCACTCTCAGCTCCCACCATGATGGGTAACAAGCCTCGTAGAAGCAAGCCTGCAAGAGGGACATGTGAAGCCCCTGACCCGACCTGCAGGCCACACACCTGCATAGTGAGCCCCAGCTGCCGCATGCGGTCCTTGCCCTCCCGGGTCCAGGGCCCGGGCTCCGTGTCATCCCGTCGAAGGAGGTAGCGCCACACCAGGAAGCCAGATTTCCCCTTCTCCGGCCAGTACTTTACCACCTGCGGAAGGACAGTGTGGCTGGTAGGTGAGCGTGGCACAGGAACCTGGACACAGGCATAGGGACACGGGCAGGCGCTCACGGCTCACCTTGTAGATGCCATCATAGCGGTTGCCCTCCGCGGGAGCATACTTGCTGTGCTTCCCGCCCTTCATGTTGCGGACCACACGCACTGGCTTCCCCTGGCGCCAATCCTTTGCCTCAGCCCCATTCTCACTGATTTTGGAGTTGCAGTTTAGTGCCAGAGCCCTTTGGGGAAACACCATGAGGGAAGTCACAACATGTCTGCCCCAGGCAGTAACACCCTGGCACCCATAGATACATGGGCCTCTTCACAACAGGACCCAGGACAAGACGGCTGGCAGGGGCGACTATCTGATGTAAATGTCCCCAGAAGGACCTGCAGAGGTCTCAGTGGTTAGAGAATTAGCTGCTCTAGCGGAGGACCCCGTTCGACTCCAGCATCTACGTGGTGGTTCACCACCATCAGGGATCCAATGCCCTCTCCTGGCGTCTGTGGACACTGCACCCAAGTAGTGCAAACTTGCAGGCAACAAACACAATCGCACACATGAAATAAAAATGTCCCCAAAAGTCCCCAGGGCAGACTACAGAGAGTGAACTTTTTTTTTTTTTTTTTTTTTTTTGGTTTTCCGAGACAGGGTTTCTCTGTATTGTTTTGGAGGCTGTCCTGGAACTCACTCTGTAGCCCAGGCTGGCCTCGAACTCACAAGAGATCCACCTGCCTCTGCCTCCCGAGTGCTGGGATTAAAGGCGTGTGCCACCAACGCCCGGCCAGAGAGTGAACTTTTAAGTGGTGGGCCTGGCAGCATCGGAGATGCTAGGATTGTGGGACTCCAGTGTCCTTTCCATTCTCATGCCCTGCCACATGCCACACACTTCTACCATGTGCTGCCCCCTAGTGGGAGCCTCGAGACAAAACACACACACACACACACACACACACACACACACACACACACACACACACACACACACACACACACACCAGCAGGGAAACCTTGGCCCTAAACTAATAGCCTCAGGATTTGTTAGTGTAACAAAACCAGGGGTTCATTACTGCAACAGAACCCTTCCTTCCCTATGGGTTCACGGTTTTCAGGACTTGTAAGTAACAAAACCTTTCCCCTCTAAACCAGAGAAGGAAGATCCCATACAATAACTACACACTGAGCTATACAGAGGGCCCTGCCCTGATTGCCACCTCCAGACTTCAATGGAAGTGATACCCTGGCTGGGACTGTGACCAGGACAGAGATCGACCACGAGGCAAATAGAGAACCTGTGCCCCCATCACCGCTGCCACATGAGGCACATGGGACCCGCACCCTCAGCACCATGCCAAGCTTCCACACACCTGTTGGTGTTGGTGAGCTTCTGGTCAGAGGACTGTCCCGCAGTGCGCTTGTTGCCCGAGAGGTCTCGGCCACCGCTCCCCGTGTAAGTGAAGAAATTGCCATTGTCCTACAACGGGGAAGAGGAACTGTGTGAGCCCTCAGCATGGGGGGTTAGCCCTGCCCAACTCAACCAGGACAAGGGTGTGGACACGGAGGAGGCCGAGTCTGGAAGGAGTGAAGCAGAGTGAGGAGGCAGTGGCGGCGCACAGCGGGCCCAGGAGAGCCCCGTCCTTCAGACACCAAGCACAGCTCTTTGAAATGTTGTTCCAACATGGAGGGCCTTGAAGGCACAAAGCAGTGGCATGAGTCAGGCGCAGGGACCCACAGAGGACAGCATGTGCCAGGGAAGGCTGAGACGCTGGCCCAGTTAAATGTCTTGGGGGACAGACTCAGCAGAAGACGGGAATTCTAGAGGTGCATGGTAGAGACGGGGCACCTGACGCGTCCCTATGCTGCTGAACCTGGGGTGCTCCCTTTGCCTGGAAGGGAGGGTAGGGGAACCCCCCTGCACCCAGAATGTTTGCCCCACCCTGTAATTCCCCACGTCCCCATCACACCCTACATAGTGCCCTGACTGAGAAGCCAGCCAGTCTCCTGTCACTCTCACCACACTCAGCTGCAGCACCCTCAAATCTGACTTTTCTTTCCTTATAAAATTGACTTATTTTTGTGCTTATATAGGTAACCCCTCATGACATCTTTCTCTGGCAGAAATGAACCTATGTTGCCATTCGTGCTGTCTGGGGACACTGTTAGGTCCAACAAGAATGACCACAACATGTTGACAGCGTGACCTAGCAGAGCTCTGGCCAGCAAAGAGGGTGGGCCCCACTGTGGAGACTGGGCTGAATGACAGTTCCCATAGGCTGCTCGGAGCCAGGCGTGACTCCTGGCGGATCAGCTGTGGTGGATGGCGTGAAAGCCAGAGTGAGGGGCAGTTAAGGGGTGGGTGGGGAGGACGGGGATGGGGTGACACCGAATGGCGGGGAAGGAGGCGCAGCACTCACCACGTCGTCCTCTGTGGTGGATGGCGTGAAAGCCAGAGTGAGGGGCAGTTAAGGGGTGGGTGGGGAGGACGGGGATGGGGTGACACCGAATGGCGGGGAAGGAGGCGCAGCACTCACCACGTCGTCCTCGTAACCACCAGCTAGCACCAGCGAGTAGGCACCATCATTGCTCCGGCCATGGATGCCCGCCACATGTGGCCGATGCACACCAGACTCACTGACCTATGAGCACCACCAGAAGACCCATTGGACCTCCTGGGAACTGTGACCCTGTCCAGACCCCACATGACAGTCCCTGTCAAAAGCACCCTGGTCCAATGGCCGAGTCCAGCCACCATAAAAGAGCAGGCCATGACTGGGGTAAAGGGTCCCGCTGTAACCTGGGACCCTCTCCCAAGCAGGCATCCCTCTAAACCCCACTCAGCAGCATTTCCTGCCCCAAGCCACTAAGACACAAACTCAACAGAGAAACGTCTGGAACCCCAGGGATCAGCAGATACCTGGACTCTGAAGCGCCACATGGTGCCCACAGGGACTCCAGGGATGGGCCCGAAGTGGTTGGCGGGCACGATGGTACACTCTTTGGTGCGGCCCACACACGCCATGCCCTGCAGTGTAGAAAGGGCTCTGTGAGCACTGGGAGTGGGAACAGAGACAGGAACCAGCAAGAGGGGCGTGTGTCCCTCACCTTGCCCCAGTCGCGCCGGGAGGACGAGGTGGCCGACGCCATCTTTGCCTTCTTCTTGCTTTGCTTCAGCTTCTCGCCTGCTTGCACCACCTCGCTGGAGTCAGTCCGACAGCTGGGACAGTACCTGGGACAAGAAGAATGTCACCTGCATATGGCCTGATGTCCAAGTGCGGGACAGGTGGTGTACTTCCCCCAGAAACCGCACACAAGCCAGAGACCAGGGACACACAGCCCACACGACTGTTTAGAACCAAGGTCACTAGGGCTGAAAATCAGGTCAGAAACTTGGGTTCCCAGGCAGCTGTGGACATGTGTCCATGTGCAGCTGGAGGCGCAGGGTGAACTCCAGACTGGTCCATCCGAATGTTCTACTGGACATGGGTTTCCTCGCCTTCCACTAAATCCTGCCTGAGAAGGCCAGTGAAATGGTCAGTGGGTAGAGGCTTGCCACCAAGCCCCAGAACTGGCATGTAATTCCCCCAGGCCTACATGGTAGAGAAAACTGACTCCCAAGAGTTATTTCCTAATCTCCACTCGTACATACACAAATAAAAATAACACAAAAAGTTATTTCAAGAACCCCACAGAGAGCCATGGTGGCGCAAGCCTTTCCCAGGGAGGCAGAGGCAGGAGGATCTCTGAGTTCCAGGTCAGTCTGGTCTACAGAGAGAGTTTCAGGACAGTCAGGACTATACAGTGAGACTTTGTCTCAAGAAAATCAAAACAAGAATGCATGAATGGCTAGATAGACAGGTGGATAAATAAATAAATCAAGGTAAGTTCAAATGCTGGGTAAGGGAGAGAGCACGGGTCATGTGATGGCACCCTTCTCTGCCAGAACCTCGGGTTTCCCATCTACACAGGGCCAGGCAGCCAAGAGGCCCCTCTGCACACCACTGTCAGTAAAACAAGCTGTGCACTGTGGGGCAGAGCACACAGTGGCAGGCCTCAGGGACACTAGCACAGCTGTCCCTCACTGAGCCTGCAGCCAAGCTGGCAATCAGCAGGTCCCAGCCATCCTCCTGTTACTGTTCCCCCAGCACTGGGCTCACAGGGCCGCGCAACAGCCACGCCCAGCTTTTGACTCGAGGTCTGGGGTTTGAATTCAGGACTGGCCTGTGCAGCAAGGCTAAGAGCAATACCCTGGCCTGTCTTCAGTTTGCTTGTGGGCATGCCAGGTGACCCCAGAGGTCCACCACTCACCACTCAGGCTCAGGAGGGACGCAGGTAAGCTGTGGCTGCAGGCAATACAGGTGGAAGGCCATGTCACACTCGTCACATAACACCTGCTTCTCGGGAGCCTCACGCCCACCGCACACGTGGCAGGCACACTTGCGACATGGCTTGTTCTCGTCGTCCTTGCAGTACTGGCAGGACGGACCGCTCTTCCCTGTTTTCCGGAGGGGAAGAGGGGCTGCAGCAGGCCACCATGCCACCTGGGACTGCCCCCCCAGAACCTAAGGTATGCTCAGGGCCCGACCAGTACTCACGTTGTGAGGGGCCCCCAATCAGGGGGTTCCTTTCATTGGGGAGCTCAATCTTGAAGACTTCATCCACGAACATGATCCGGCAGTTGTCGAGCTGAGAATCATTTCTGTAGAGCATTCCAAACGTTAGAACACTGTGGGCTGAGCCTGTCTTCAGATCTGCTACGGAGCGTTAGGCAGGAGGTTGGCTTTAGCCCAGGTGGGCTTCCCCACTGGTTTCTGCATGTGTGTATTCCGTAACATGGGCACTCCTGTGCTACATACATGTCAGAGCATGTTCAGCTGTTCATTCTCAACTTCTGTCTGCACATGTCACGTGCCAAGCTAGCTGGCTCTGGAGGCCCAGGAATTCCCATGTCCCTACAACAAGCACAGCTAGCAGTACAGACAGGAGCTACTGCATGTGGTTTCTGTATGAGCTTCTGGGGGTTGAACTCAGGTCCTCATATTCACACAGCACTGAGTCAAGAGTCTGCAGAGACCCTGGACAAGGCAGTGAGATCTGGTGCCCCCTAAATGAGGCCAAGGCCCTTGGACCCCTAGAGGTCTCCATGCACACAGGAAGCTACTAAGTCAGGCTGGCAGGCCTAGAACCACTCAGGTCCTCCCAGTGTGAAGACAGTGTGGAAAAACACACAAGACCCTAGAAAACCGAGTCTGCGGGCTGCGGAGCCAGGGGAAGCCAGGGATGGCCCAGTGTAAGGATAAGAAAGGATGTCAGGGTCCCTGTCAGACAGGCCACTCACAAGAGCATGACGTTGCCATAGAGCTCGCGTGCTGTCCTGGTCCGACGCTTCCTACAGATCTCAACATCGTACCAGAAGCCGCGCTTCCTGGGATAGTCCACATTGTAGTTGACCATCACCACCTGGCCGACCTCCAGGTCCTCCCACGGGATCACAGTGCGGGCACGAGCACGGACATCCTTGGCTTTGACAACCTCCACTCCACTCTCTGGGTAGCTGCAAGGAAAGGTCCAACCTTAGACCCCCAAGTCACCATGTGCTGAGCGACCCTGGCCATCTATGCTGGTGGGCCAGTGTAGGGAAAGCTCGCATCATTATTCCCTGCTTCAGGCCAGGTATGTGGGACATGTAGACAGATGTTACCTCCCAAAGTGGCCCAGTCCCCCTCCCGGCAACCAGGGAGACGGCAATTTGGAAGTAAGGCTTTCTGCAGTAAGGTGGGCCTGATGGAGTACAGACAGCACTGTTTCTCTTGAGAGAAGTGACAGACAGAAGAAAGTATGTGGCACACACCACAGTGAGGTGGCCATGTGCCCAGGACCAGACTGCCAAGTCAGGGAGGTGTGGGACAGTTGGTCTCGGGATCAGACTTTGGGAAGAGAAAGTGAATGCTCGTTTCCCCACATTCCTGAGTGGAGGCACGGAGAGCAGAGTACAGCCAGAAGTGACTGCCCCAGAGTGCACCCTCCCACCCACTCTCAAGAGATCTTTCATGTCCTCACAGACTGAACAAAAACTGATCAGGGACAGGCAGCTCGTGGCTGGGCTCCTAGGGTAAGAGGTACCTTTTCCAAGTATCAAATGGAAACAGCACCAAGGATAGGCCTTCTGTGGTTTCTCCACCCTGTCCCCTGGCAGCAATCACTTAGGGAGTGCAGGGCAGGGTGCTCTGGACAGTGTTGGAGACAGGACCAAGCTCACGTGGCACTCACTCATCATATTTGATGTGGTACATGATGTCATCCTCCAGGGTCATGCTGGCACTGGAGCTGCAGGGCTCCTCCTGGGATGGGGCTCTCTTCTGCACCTGGACCACCTGGGCCTCAAACCATGCACCCAAGGTGTTGTCACGCACATCCACGTACTCATTAACCTAAGGAAGCGAGGAGACTCAGGGGACCCAGCAGCAGGGCAGGATCAAGGTCAAGGGGTCAGAGGTTGTGGGGCAGGGATCACAGGGCCACACACGCCAGGTAAGTTTGTCTATACCCAACTACGTCTACAGGTCTCACTCATAGCCCAGGTTAGTCCCGCACGAACAAGCATGCTGCCTCAGCCTCCAGAGTACAGGGGATTGTGGGTATGAGCCACCACGCTCCACCTGGGAGAAACCCTCAGCACTGTGACAGCTGGTGAGACTGGACTACTCAGAATGGAATTCAGGCCAAGGCCACCCTCTGCAGGTACTGGCAAGAGTGGTCCCCAAGGAGTCCCAAAGAGACCTTGTGTGGCTGTCAGCGAGTGAGGGGCAGAGAGGCCCAGGCATTGCCAAGGTTGGCAGGACACAAATCTGGGTTGGGGGGAAATCCAGAAAGCCATGTTCAGCTGCACACAGCCGCAGGGAACCTCACCTTGTACAATCCCAGTTCTGTGTCCTCCCACACGGCCTTGTCATCCCCTTCGCCATGCGTGGAGGACTTGTCTGACTCACTCTGACACACACCATAGCCAGAGTCAGAGTCGGAGAGCTCCGAGTCCCGTTCCTTCGTACTGGGAGGTAGTGCCAGACTCTGGCGCACTAGCAGCTGGATTGTGTCATTGAGACGCACATCATAATCGAAGAGTGTGTGGCCATCCTCCATCTGTGGGGAAATCCAAAACAGATTGTCTTCCACAAAGGCCTGGCATGGGGCAGGGGTAGATGGGGACACATGGATGGTCATGTATTCCCAAGCCTAGGCTCTCTCAGCTGACACGGAGCACTGTCAACACCCACAGAGGGCCATGAACACAGGTAACTCAATGCCTCCATGCTGTGATGTCCAGGGAGTCCCTCTTCCAGGGAAACTTACTGAACTAATACTGAGTAGGGTTTAGGGGTTCATCTCAAACTCCTGGTCCTCCTTCCTCCACTTGCCAAAGGCTGGGAGGCAGGCGGAAAGGCCATTAGCCCAGTTTATGTGCTGCTGGGTGGTGTTGAGGTGGGTTCACTGGCCAGCACACTGCAGGACCCAGGATGCCCCATAGGAGTCATTTGTGGCCCCACGGAAGTCCCTCCATGTCTATCTCACCATGGGCTCTTTCCCCACTGTAGGCCACAGGCACCTCCTGTGACAGCCACATATACTGGTAGGAGATCCCTTAGAGATGGAGTCACTCAGTCCCTAACAGGGATCCTACTGTCATACAAAGAGCTCTTGGGATTGCAGTGAATTGGAGCCCCCAAATCTTAATGGGGAAGGCACGTGAGAAAAAGACCTGCAGGCCCATGTGGCCTAACTATGGTACCTGAGAGCAGGCCTGAGATTTCACAAACTTTGTGTTCCAGAGGGGGACACAATAAGGAATGGGACTGCCTTCTCTTCAGGAATAGGAACGGGAAGAGGACTGGCGGGAACAGACTCCCGGATTATGCAGGAAGAGGATTCCTTGGGAAGACTCCCGGGCGGGAACAGACTCCCTGGCTCTGCGGGAAGAGGACTCCGCGGGAACAGACTCCCGGATTATGCAGGAAGAGGACTCCTCGGGATGAGGACTCCGCGGGAACAGACTCCCCGGCTCTGCGGGAAGAGGACTAGGCGGGAACAGACTCCCGGATTATGCAGGAAGATGACTCCTCGGGAACAGACTCCCGGGCTCCGCGGGAAGAGGACTCGCGGGAACAGACTCCCGGGCTCCTCGGGAACAGACTCCCGGATTATGCAGGAAGAGGACTCTCGGGAACAGACTCCCAGGCTCTGCGGGAAGGACTCTGCTCTGCGGGAACAGACTCCGGGACTGGCAGGAATAGGACTCCCACACTATGCAGGAACCAGCTCCAGGGGAAAGGGACTCTTGGGAAACTGCCTGGCAGAAAGGGACTCTGAAAGAACTTAGTGTCTGCGGGAATGAGACAGCTTGGGGAACAATGTGCTCAGCAGCCCATGACCGCCCTGAACACACGCTTACCTATCTCAAACGTCACCCACCACACAGGGACTCAGACCTGGGGATCCCGAAATGAATAGGGAGCTGGGGAGAAGATACTCGCTGTGCCCAGTGTAGGAAGTCCTTCCGCAGATGGCGAGCACTGCCATCCAGTCATCCACAGTGGAACACACCACTCAGCCATGAGCAGGAGCACAGCGAAGGGAGCAATCACCTGGCACCCATGTACACACAATACACATGCCCAAAGGTTTCAATACAAAGCAAAACATGGTAGTTGCTGGGCCCAGGGGTTGGTGGTCAGCACTGGAATGGCCAGGAGGTGGGGCCAGCAAGGTGGGCAACAAGACCATACAAGCTTCCCCCCGGTCCTGTCATCTAGGAACCCACAAAGCTGCCCCACCATGGTCACAGCTCCTACTCAACACACAGGGCAGCATATGGCTGGGACCTGCTTGGGACAGACTTACCCTGCAACTCCTAACTCACAAGGCTGGTTAGGCAGCTTCTGGCTGCTGCTGCTTCTGGAACTATCCAGAAGGGCCCCGTGAAAGGCAGGTAGAAGCCTGCACTAGCATGTGACTAGGTCTGCGAGTGTCCCCCATCCATATCCCGCTTCCCAAGTGGTAGGGCTAGGAACCTCAACAAGCATGTGAGCCCAGGTTCCAGACAGGACACTTTTTAAGAGCCTAAAGGCCCAGCCTCCACTCAGGGACCTCAATAACTGGGTACAGCACCCAGTCACACACCTCCTGCAATTTCTAAGATTAACCCAGGGTAGGTGCTGAGTGCGCACCAGTGTGCACAAGGCCCTGAACTCCATCCTCAGCACTACATAAACAGGCACTAACACGTGCTGTGAGTCCATCCCAAGAGGAAACAAGTATTCAGGGTTATCCTTGGCTACATGGTGGATTTGACTGCAGCCAGGGCGACATGGGACCCTTCGAAGTAAACAAAGGCTAGCGAGACCACTCATAGCAGGTGAGAGAGCACTTGTCCTGCAAGCCTGATGCCAAGTTCTATCCCTTCTCAATGTTGTCCTCTGACTCCCTCCACACACACATACACACATAGCACCTAAAAATAATCAACAAGTAACATCTTCAGACAAAAGAGTCGCAACCCTGAATAGCTGGAGTAACAGAAGACATGGCCCATCTATTCACTCAAGATGGCTCTGGCGGCTTTTGTCCACTCTATTGGAAGATCTGCTGTGCCTCCTGTGAAGGGGGTAGGGGCCTTGCCTTACTTGGCTTGTCACATGATCCTGGGTGGCACCTTTCAAGTCACCACAGCCTGAGACAGGCCTTGGCCCACTGACCCTGGACTCCACGGGTACAGAAGACTGGCTAAGTACTGGGGTAGACACCAGGCTTTGCGCACACCGGACAAGTGCTGAACTACTGAACTGGTGTCAATCACCCATGACACCAGCTAATTGAAGGGAGAGAAAATAAGTAGCCCGAGGGCTTCCCGGGTGATGCCTAGGACTGTCTTAACAGTGGGGAGCTCTGGCATGGTGACACCTGTATTCCCTGTGGGGACCCTTGGCTGAATTTTGGTGCCTCCATCACCAAGCCAGGACCCGCTGAACCCAAAACACATAACTACATGCGATGACAACCAGTCAGCCCATGTATGTTCCTTGAACAGAGAAGCAAGGGACTTAGCAGCCATTAAAGCCTGCATGTACTAGGTATATTGAGGCTATTTCCATGCGTGGTTTTAAGATAACAAAAACAAGTCTGCCAGAGACACATCTATCTCACTTTGCCCTGGCAAGAACGATGCCCAGAGTCCCCCTACATACCTGCCACCCTGCTCAGAGACAGGGAGGGGCCAGCACACAAACTCCCTGATACCATCCTGCTCCTTTTAGTTTTGAAGTCTCAATGAACCCAGACAGCTGAGCCACAACAAACGAGAAAGCCAGCACACCACAAACCTTCTGGAACCTTCTGTAAGAAGGACCTACTTGCATGTTTCTGCTGCCTGTCCCACCTCCCAATCCCTTGCTCCATCCCCATAGTCTGCTGTGTCCCCATAGCCTGCTGCAGCTGGAGAAGTTGCAAGCTTGCGTCAGAAACCGGAAGTCACCACCTGCTCCCTGACAAAGCCTACAAAGCTACCGCATGGAAGGCAGCTAGGAAAAGGGATCAGACAGCAGTGTGGCTGCAGCTGGGCACCATCTAGGTACCCTCAGGAGGCAGAGGCAGGCAGATCTGAGTTGGAGGCCAGCCTGGGCTATGTGAAACCTTGTCTCTCAATAAAAACAGCAACACTGCTGAGGGAGAACCTGGACAAGCATTTCCACGAGTAGGAGATGGTCCCAGAAGTGAGTGAGCCGGATGACTTGACAGACGGCAAGAGGCACCAGCGGAAAGTCAAGCAGACACTGTTGAATCTCTGCAGTGGGTAAGAGCCACTAAAGTTTGGGTCTTTCCAACCCAATGTAAACTTGACTAGTTACAGTTCCCAGGAGAGACACACTGCTAAACCAACACGCTGGGTATGGGATGGAATGAGCCACCATTGCAGGCAACCAAACATGATGCATGCCCACACGCAGCCCAAGAACACCCCACGTCTGAGGAGGCAGTCACAGTCACACTGCCATCACCTGGGCACAATCAGTTAAAGAAATGAACCATCAGACCCATCGGACCTGACACCAGAGGGCAGCAGTGCCCTGTCCAAACACAAAGGAGGGTACGGGCCATGGAAGCAGGGACTTCAGATCTACTTAGGACCTTCCCCACTGGCTGCAGTGCACCCAGCTCCAAACCGACCTCTGCGGGCACGCACCCACACCAGAGACCCCGACGCCAGCACATGCGACTCTCGGCACCGCAAGACACCAACAAAAGAAACCCAGCCAGGTGCCAACAACAAAGCGTTCACGTGTGGGCAGCTGGGCTGCAAAGACGGCCACTTTAAAGGCCACGGGCTGGAGGGACGAGGTGGAGAGACGCGACTACGGGGGCTGCCCTCCAAAGGGCCACTAGTTGCATTTTCCCCAAAAGCCTAAGCGAACAAAATCTCCAATTAGGGAGAGAGCAGATCCTTGGGGGGTTTGACGTCTCACGGGAGCAAGCTGTGGGCAATCAGGGTGGATTTCAAAAGGAAAACCTGGCCCCCTCTCACTGACACCACGTGAAGACTGTTGGAGAAACTTTCATCTGCAACCCCCTTGAGCCCTCTGTTGGCCACTTCAAACTTCTCCCTCAAGACGAATGATCTAGAAGGGGTAATTAAAAAGGCAGCGAGCTCTGCAGCCTAGAGGCCGGCGGTGGCCGGTGTGGAGGCCTTTGTTCACCTTCCCCAGTAACTGAGGCCACCGGCCAGGGGGGTAAGTGTGTGGGGGCACTCTTCACCGGTGGCTTTGAGAAGCAGGGGGCCCGGTGGGCGGATGGAAAGCTGCGGTACCGGGCCAGCTTACCTGTTTGCCCCTGTAGAAGAGTCTCTGCAGCTGGGGCTCCACATGAAACAGTTCCGCGATCTTTTTCCTCAGCTCCTGCACTTTGGTCAACCTGGACAGAGAGTCCACGGTGTGGGTCTCCTTCCCATCCATGGTTCGGACCTGGATCCACATGGTGCCGGTTATGCTGGAGGGATACAAAGAGAGAGAGAGAATCGGGTCGGTGTGGCCGGCCAGCAGGCGGGGAAGTGGGGGACCCTCACCCCGGTAGCTTCCTTTACATCTGACTGAGCAAGAAGCAGCTCCCAGGATCAACATTCTGGCGTGCTGGCCCCTCTTACACGGCCAGAACGCACCTTGGAGGACCAGGTGGCATAAACTAGGCGCTTAATGCTTTAACAATCAGCGAGTAGGGGCACTTGAGCGTGGACCGCCAAAGTCAAATCAATCCACCACATCTTCAAAGAGGGAGAAGAAAAAAAAAAAGCAATAGCCATGGGGAGAGAAAGGCACTGGTCAGGCTGAGTGGTCGCTGCTGCTCATTCCTTCGTTCACCCATTCATTCATTCCACACAGTCCAAGTCCCAGTAACTGGAACTCGCCAACTCCGAAGCGAACCGGAACTTCTCAAGTCCCAGGAGGAAAAACTCGGTCACAGAAGGCAGGACCCCCCCCACACACACCCCATTCGGGACGCCCCCCGGAGTTCCGGGCCGGTGCCCCCCGAGCGCGTGCGCGGAGCAGGGCCCCCCCGCCGTGGCCATGGCAACCGGCAGTCCCGGCCGACACCCCCGCGCACTCGCTCGTGGCCACAAACTCACCTGGGCCCCACGCACAACTGGCTAACCTGACCTTCCCCCGGGACACCGTCCCTGGCCTCTCGGGATGGCGCTTTAAAGACTCCCGAGGCCCGGAGCCCACGCCCACACCACCCGCCGCCGACGCCAGGGTCGGACCCCCAGAGCCGCGCCGTTTAAGTTCCGCCCTGCCCGGAGAGCCCGCTGCTGATTGGCTGCGCCCGGATTGCACGCCCCGCCCTCCTCTCACGCGATTGGCCGACGTGTACTCGGAGAGGCCAGGGCGCGCGAAACCGGACTCGAGCGCGACAATTGAATTGCGGGGAGCGTCCGCGCGCAGGCGCGGAGCCGCGTGTACACCCCCGCCTGACCCCACGCGTCTCCCTCGGACTTAGTGACACCCGGGAGGGTAGAAAGCCCGGTGTGGCGTGGAGGACGCCCCTCAGGTTGCCCCTCAATTGACGGAGAAGCACGCATGCGCCGTGGCTCTCTGCAATGCCCGGAGACACGCGCGGGAAATTATTGCCAAGTTTTGGGATGTAATCGTGTGCGCGGGGCCAGAGATGGGGGACCCAGGGTGGAAGATACAATTCTGATCCCCCTCACAGGCGGTGCGGGAGCACGCGTGGGCAATAGCTCTCTATAAATCTCATCCCACGCGCGGGAAAGTTTGCAGTCGTCCCCCCCCAAAACCCGGGCCGCCCACGTTGTGCTGCTAGCCAGGAAGAGGGTCCGGGGTGGAAGACCTCGGATCTCCTGAAGCAAGCCCCGCGGCCACGCGTGGGAAGGGTTCTCTGCGGTTCTGTGCAGTGACCGGCCCGCCGGGCCACACTGCGTGCGCCCAGCCACTCACCTCTCTCGCAGCCGGTGGCGATCCGCACTGTCCTCTCGCCTGGAGTGCCCGCTCCTGGTCGGGAGCCCTGCAGCTGGGCGACAGAGCCGGGAGCCGCGTGAGTGGCAGAGGGCCTGAGTGAGCCCGGGAGCGCGCGATCCTCCCAGCTGCTAGGGTTTTTTTTCCCGCGAAAATTCAGGGCGTTTTTATGAAGTAAGCACAGGCTGCTGTGGCAGACTCTGCCACCCTAATGGGAGGAGGGGGGCGGGCTCTTCATTCCTGATTGGCTCGCGCTGTGGCGGGAAGCGAGAAAGAGAGTGGGGGCGTCCCACGACTGGGTATCTTACCCCACCCCGGGCTCCGCCCAACGGGCCGCAGACCTGCCCTGTCTGCTGTGCCCAGTTTACCAAGAAGGCCCAGGTTCCCCAGCGTGCAAACCCCGGGAGGGACCCCCACCCAAGAGACCCCTAACCTCAGTACATGCCCATTCCTCCTCGGCTGGACACACTTTGACCTCTTAAATCTAAACCCGAATCTCTGACCCAGGGGGAACTTGAGGGGTGCCTTCCCTCCAGATACCCTGCGCCCCATGTCCTGAGCACCCCCAGGCGCACTGAGCACATTGAGTAACGTCCATCACCCTAGGGTGCTGCTACTGCCCCCACCCATACTACCCACCAGAAGGGCTCCCCACCCCCAGCGCCTGGTTTTTCCCGCCTTCTGCAAGTTATCCAGGCGGGCAGCGCCTCCCTGCCCCCTCTGCCCCGGCCTGCTCCATTCTGACCATTCTTGGCGGGCACTCGGCTCTGGGCATCTGCAGTAACTGAGGAACACAGAGACCAGAGCTTCGGGACCCAAGCTCATGCGAGACACAGCCTCCCCTCCAGTATCTGGGGTCCCGGGCAAAGCAAATTCTGATTAGGGAAAGAAGCGAGAAGCAAATAAAGTCTAGAGGACAATTCCAGGTACAAAAGACCACAAGCCACGAGGTCGGAAGTGACCAGCGGCCACGTGGGGGCTGGGACGGAGCCACTTCCGGCTGGGGAACGCCAAGGACACGTGAGATGTGGAAAAGGCTTGGGGTGGGGGGCCAGAGAAGGCCCCTGGGCTGGGACAAAGAACAGGTAAGACCTCAGAGGCCATGGGATGGGCTTAATCTTCTGCCTTCTCTACCTTGGTGGTCCTGGTGGTCCTTCGAAGGAAACTTCCAATTTTTGTTTGTTTTTGCTTTTAGGAACAGGGTCTCACATAGCCCAGGCTAGCCTCCAACTTGCTCTGTAGCCGAAGATGACTTAACTCCAGAGTCTCCACTTCCCCTAGTTCTGGCTAACAACTGCACTACCGCATCTGGCCCACTTTGGGGGTTCTTACCAAGTTGTTCCTCCAAAGAGGTTTCAGGTATCTCCCTGTGAGCTTCAACAGTGTCCAGGCCCTCATCCCTAAGATCTGGGGGGCAAGGGCCTTCCACAGTGAGGTATGCTTTACAAGTATGGCAAAGATTTCCCAGATTGCACAGCCTGGTGGTACACACCTGGTACCCCAGCACTTGGAAAATAGGGCAGGAGGACCAAGGAGTTCAAAGTCATCTTCAGTTACACAGCAAATTCCAGGCCAGCCTAGACTACATGAGACCCTGTCTCAAAATAGCAAACAATAAAATAATTAACATTAAAAATTGGGAAAAGCCGGGCGTTGGTGGCACACGCCTTTAATCCCAGCACTCGGGAGGCAGAGGCAGGCGGATCTCTGTGAGTTCGAGACCAGCCTGGACTACCAATCGAGTTCCAGGACAGCCTCCAAAGCCACAGAGAAACCCTGTCTCGAAAAAAAATAAAAATTGGGAACACCAGGCTGGAGAGATGGCTCAGAGGTTAAGAGCACTGACTGCTCTTCCAGAGGTCCTGAGTTCAAGTCCCAGCACCACATGGTGGCTCACAACCATCTATAGTGAGATCTGGTGTGCAGGCAGGAACAATGTATACACATAAATAAATAAACTTTTTAAAAAATTGGGAACACCTTCAATCCCAGCACTTGGGAGACAGAGTTATTAGATCTTTGTGAGTGTGAGGCTAGCCTGGTCTACAGAGTGAGTTCCAGTACAGCCAAGGCTACTCAGAGAAACCCTGTCTCAAAAAACAACAACAACAAAAAAAATCACGGCGTACAAAGTGGCTTCAGCAGGTACACGGGTACAGGTGCTTGCCTCTAAGACCTGAGTCCAATCACCAAACACAAATAATGGAAGAAAACATGACTTCCATGAGTTTCAACCTTCACATGCATGTGCCTACACACAAATGAAAATATATTTAATTTTTCATTTAAATAAAAAACAGGAACAAGACAACACTGCCTGCAAAAACAGTCACACAGGGCAAGTCAAGACAGACCACAGACAACAAACAGGGTCTTCCCATGGAGCCTCAGGACATCTGACTCAGGCTTCAGTGTCCAGAGACTCACTGTACCCCAGGCTGACCCCAAACATGGCAGTCTTCCTGCCTCACAAGTGCTGGAATTAAAGGCATAAACCCCCAAAGCCTTCTGGCTTATGTTATTTCAAACGTCACACAAAGTTGCCTAGGCTAGCCTTGAACTGTGTTGAGCTCCCTGCCGTGGCCTCCTAAGTTGATGTGGAAGGCCTGAAGCTCTAGGCCCAAACTGGAGGGTTTTGGTTTTCTATGATATCCTGGGAAGCAAGAGTCAGGACTGGGGGAGATGATGATGATCCCAGAGATGATTCAGGGGGTCAGGGGTTCAATATCATCCTTGGATACAGAAGGAACTCAAGGTCAGCCTGGGCTAACAGAGAACCTGTTTCCCTTCCCAGAACTCTGAGTGCAGTGATGTCACAGAGGTCACCACAGCTGAGGAGCCCAGGGAGACCTGGGTGGTATTCGGGTGAGGGGAAGGATGTGTCTCCGCCCGCCCAACCTCCCATGACTGTGGTGAAGTCCATCGAGGTAGTGCTGCCCAAAGATGCAGTCTACCTGGCTGGCTCGAATATAGACGGGCAGGTGGTCCTCATCCTCAACAGTACCCTCGTGGACCCTGTTGTGAAGGTAGAGCTTGTCGGTAGGGGTTACGTTGAGTGGAACGAAGAAATCGGAGAGACCCGCGATTATAGCAGAGATGTTATTTGCAATAATAAGGCAGATTACGTACATAAAACAAAGACATTGCCAATAAAAGGTAAGAATGTGACCAGCAGCCCGGGGCAGGAAGATAAACCAATCTGCTAGTCAATCAGCAAGCCCTTAGGAGTATCATGACATAGATTAGGGATAGGCAGAGGGAAGTCGTGTTAAATAATGACCAGTGTGAAGACTGGAAGACAAGAGAACCAATCAGGACAGAATTCCAAGGTGAATTCTTGGGAGGTGCTCTATTCAGCCCCACAAAGGGCTGTGAGAGGCCCTCTGAGACACCATTCTTGTTAGCTTTCACAAACATCCCTCTCTGGTTCTGGGACTCAACAAGACCGAGGAAGGAGTTCTGAATGTCACACGGGGGGGGGGGGGGGGCGCACAGAGAATTCAGGATAAAGATTCTCAACCCTGCCAACCCAGCTCCTGGCAGTCAGGAGCCAAGGAATATCACCCACACAACAAGCCTCACACAAGAGATTTATTGGGAGGGAAAAAGCAGGAGTGTGCTGCCTCTGCTTGGGCAAGCAATGGCGGGAACTGAAAAAGGCAGGACTTTATAGAGAGTTTCTTGGTGAGGGGGACAGAAGTTTCCAGGGTGGGGATTGGTAGGACTTCAAGTCCAGAGCTTGGACTTTCTACTCTGTAGGGCCAGCTATTAGGTCAATTAAAGTGACCTGACATTGGAGGTCCTCTGGGGAGGGGCTTACATCACCACTTCACCCTGATGGTCCTGGGAACTTTGTTTCCTTCCCAGACTGTGTTATTGGTTTGTTGTGGGTGTTCACAGGGTTCCCAAGTTTGGGAGTTGTTTTGTTTTGTTTTGAGACAGGGACTCACTACGTAGCCCTGACTATTCTGGCACTCGCTCTGTAGACCAGGCTGGCCTTGAACTTACAGAGATTCTGCTACCTCTGCCTCCTGAGTGCTGGGATTAAAACTGTGCTCTATTAGGTCTTACCCTCTCGGAGGAGCAGATGGGAGGTGGGGAGGAGTCGGAGGAGCGGGATTGGAATGTAAAAAATAATTTTAAAATTTTCTAAATTAAATGGAAGTAATAGATAAAAAAGTGCTCTGTCATGCCCTGGTTTTGTTTTTTAATATTACTTTGTATATGCTTGAATATTTTGCCTGTGTGTCTGTCTATGCACCATGTGTGTATCTGATGCCCAAGGAGGTCAGAAGAGAGCAACAGATACCAGGAACTGGAGTTACAGCTGGTGTGAGCTGCCCTGTGGGTGCTGGGAACCGAACCTGGGTCCTCTTCGGGAGCGGCCAGTGCTCTAACTACTGAGCCATCGCCAGCACCTCGTTTTGTCTTTAAGAAAGGGATTTAATCTGTACCGCCATGCTAAGTGTCGGGAGTGTTTTCTTCACTGAAAGAGTGAAGTAGCACTGTGGAGGCTGAGGCAGGAGGATTGCTGAAAGTTTGGGGCCAGCCTATAGCACACAGCCCTGGGTTCCATTCCCAGCACCACGTTATCCAGGTGTGGTGGTGCACGCCTATCACCTTGGCACTGGAGAGGAAGGCGGGAAAGGTCAGGAGTGTGGGTGTGACCTCCAGGTCAGTCAAAGCCCATCATTAAAAACACAGCACTATCTGACTCATTCAGCTACTCAGGCGTTTATTCAGCACCTACTGTTTTCCAAATGCATGCTAAGTGTTGAACCTACAACACTGAATACAACAGATAAGGTTTCTGATGTCTCGGAAATTGCTCAGGAAGGTTTGGAGGGCCGGGCATTGGTGGCGCACACCTTTAATCCCAGCACTTGGGAGGCAGAGGCAGGAGGATCTCTGTGAGTTCGAGACCAGCCTGGTCTACAAGAGCTAGTTCCAGAACAGCCTCCAAAGCCACAGAGAAACCCTATCTCGAACCCCCCCCAAAAATAAGAGTTCACAGAAAAGGTGTCAGGGTAGAAGGGTCCATCGTCCTCAGCTGTCAATCAACAAACATGGGAGTGTAGTTCAGTGGTTAGGTCCCAGCCCCAGTGCTCGCTCCAGACAAGGTTCTGAAAGGTTCTCACGCACGGCCTCGGTGTGTTTCA